GACTCTGATTCTCTGCTCCCTTCGCCTCGTGTCTCATTTAAAAGCGAAAAACGTCCGATCCCCTCGATCCCTTCGATCCCCTCGATCCCCTCGATCCCTTATGCCCTGGTGGCCATGAGGTGACTCTGATCCTCTGCTTCCTTCGCCTCGTGTCTCATTTAAAAGCGAAAAACGTCCGATCCCCTCGATCCCTTCGATCCCTTCGATCCCCTCGATCCCTTATGCCCTGGTGGCCGTGAGGTGACTCTGACCCTCTGCTCCCTTCGCCTCGTGTCTCTTTTAAAAGCGAAAAACGTCCGATCCCCTCGATCCCTTCGATCCTCTCGATCCCTTATGCCCTGGTGGCCATGAGGTGACTCTGATCCTCTGCTTCCTTCGCCTCGTGTCTCATTTAAAAGCGGAAAACGTCCGATCCCCTCGATCCCTTCGATCCCTTCGATCTCCTCGATCCCTTATGCCCTGGTGGCCGTGAGGAGACTATGATCCTCTGCTCCCTTCACCTCGTGTCAACGGGAAATACGTCCGATCCCCTTTACTCGATAGAACGTGCCATCAGGAAACGCTCTTCTTCGGTTTCGTGCGTTCAAATGTTCTTGTCAGTCGACCAGCGTTCCCATTCATTACGGCCTTCGATTCTTGTACTCAAGTAATTCTTATGTCCAGAACTGTAACAATTATAAACTATGATAAAAGTTCTATTTTTAGCATCAGAAGCCTATGGACCAATGAGAGTCGATGCTCAAGTCGTCGAAAGGCCATAACATGTCAAATACGTCTAGCATCGTCTAAATTGCTTCGCAAATTTCTTGCTAATTTCGCCCTGCTACGAATTTGTAAAAGATGACCCTTTAGAGTAATATTCATACTATCATATTTTACAGCATTTGAAACTTTAGGATGCATATCCACCATGAGCAACTCGTGAAAACACCAGCATTCGTTACCGAGATGAGAAATCAACCTTCAAGAGATGTGAAATATTAAACGTAAACAATAAAACACGTCATCAGCTGGCACATGCCGGACATTTGATAATCTCAGGGGAAAACCGTATTAATAACTATAATGTCGGCATGCAAATGCAATGCAAATGCAATTAAGAGTGCCGAGGAATAGGAATAGGAACAAGGCAATTTTCCTTGTTTAGGTATGCGCTGTATTTTTTCAATACATGAGAAAACACGACGATTTTCACAAAGATAAAAGATTTTTAAAGCATACGTAGGTTTGAATTTGCGATTGCGCTGATTATGTTAATAAGGAATGCTTAAAACACACCCCTCCTATTAATTAACTTATACGTGCAAAAACGATGTTTTTAGCTTATATGTTGAAACAAGAATACAGCGTATATAAACTTAATACGGTTTCCCCCTGAGATTATTAAATGTCTTGCACGTGCCAGATAACACGGAATATTGTTTAGGTGTAATATTTCACGTCTCTTGAAAGTTGATTTCTCATCTCGGTAACGAATGCTGGTGTTTTCACGAGTTGCTCATGGTGGATATGCATCCTAAAGTTTCAAATGCTGTAAAATATGATAGTATGAATATTACTCTAGAAGGGTCATCTTTTAGAAATTCGTGGCAGGGCGAAATTAGCAAGAAATTTGCGAAGCAATTTAGACGATGCTAGACGTATTTGACATGTTATGGCCTTTCGATGACTTGAGCCGCATAATAACACCGTTTTTAGCGATCTCGTTTGCGTTGTGTGTTTCGGATATTAAACATGTTTATATCGTTAGTTCTTCAGAAAAGCGCAACAAATGATAATATGTCATCAACATATCAATTTCTTGCTCATCTAAAGCGTAAATTTACGGATACCAAAGTTGTAGTATTCACGGAAGGATAAAATTAAGACAGCCGGGCCGTGCGCGAAATTAGACAGTTCAACTTTGCGCGAGTTATTTATCGCGGTTTCGCGACGTGGAAATAAGTTGACCGCATGAAATTACTTTTGAATACATTCTCCAGAATGGTCATCGATCAAATTTTTAAGTTTTTCATTATAAAGGTAACAAAATAAGGTTTTAAACGAGCTTTGCGATCTATCGGACCGCTGACCATTCCCTTTGTCAGAAAAAACAGTGATCTTTCAGAAGCTACCATGGACGAACGGAACGGAATAATGTTTTCAGTTGCCATCACGTACTAAGGAATATGACAAGAAAAAATGTCCTTTAAAAAAAATTGAATATGCATCGGTAGTTAAGCGGCCAAAGCAGTTTGTTTACAAACTAGTCGTTCCAGCTCCATATTGAAATTGTATCTGGAGCTGGCTCCAGATTCGCCAATCTGGAGCTGCCAATCTGGAGCTGTCTGGCTCGTCATCTAGCGTGATTATAGGTTCAAGTAGGCTATAGATTCAAATAGATTCATTTCTTGCTCTCTATTGACATCCAATAGCTCTGAAGGTCTTAAACAGTTTTTATACCATTTTTCTCAGCTTAATCTAGTTTATTCCAACGGACGGTATCGTTAATCGAGTTTTCATAATAATCATAAAATCATAACATAATTTTTTCATCGTCAAAATACGAATTTTTGGCACACTCCTTGCTAAGATGAGCTGTTGCCTGTTGGACGTCAGTTCCAGTCTCTTTCAATTGTTTTTGTCTGCGCGATTATATATTACAACACCAAGCTAGCTGGCCAAAGAGCTGGCCTCATATTGTGGACTCCAGTTCTAGCTCGGGGGTTTCCTAAATTGTCATGTGACGACCAACATACAGTTTTCAGAAATAGTGATATTTTTGCACGATAACATAAATTAGCATTAATTAAATTAAATTAACGCGACAAGCTGCCTGAAAACTACAATGTTTTGAAAATATATTTGGAAGTTTTCGTTGCCAAACAACTTGTGCAAGATTTATAAATTAATTAAAGTTCTTTTTTTAGAGTATTTGAGATGATTATTTATAAATTTCATACAAATTGATATAGTGATTGTATTAAAATACGCTCGCGTTCCAGTAAAGACGAGATAGCGTTTAGAATCAATCAATTTGAATTAAAATTCGCGTCGTACTCATTTTCGTTCAGCTTTAAATTCGCGCACCTTGTTGAGACTTATTCGCGCTGCATGCTTTAAATTCGCGCACGTAATTTTCCGTGTTCGTTCTTTTTGGTTTGTTTACTAATAGAACTATTAACGCTAACGTTTATTGATAATGAGTATTTTTGACTGATCTCAAGTCAAATTATATACAAATATTTTTGAATGACCTCAAAAGATGGGTTCAAAATTATGTAGCTAATGTAAGCAAAATTCATGATAGCTAACAATTAATAAAGCGCGAATTCAAAATACCAACAAGAACTAATACAATAATGCAAGTCCAAGAATATAAATTCAACTGATTTTTGCATTGGTAACAATGAGTGTCTCACAAAGCTTTCGCGCGGATTATATTTCACGCAGTACCAAAATTCGCGCACCCAACGCTGCGCGAATTCTAGTACTGCGCGAATTTTAATATAAGTAAGATACTTAAATATACATATATTGCAGGCTTGCGGAAGAAATTCACCTTTAATGTTGTAATAAAAATTGAAGAGTAGAGTGAAATTTGTCAAAAACAATTGCAATTTACACACGGCAGTGTATTGTCTATCAACGCATTAACACCTCGAGTAAATACAATTCAAACCAAGGTTTGTGTTCACAAAATCTACATACATAAGAATATCCAGAAACATTAACTTACCGTAAAGGTCGACAAAAACCAAAAAGCAAAGTTGGCAAACGAAATCAGCGAAACCAAAAATGTCATAAACTTTGGCTTTTTGCAATATGAAAGCACAGACGCTTCAGGGCTTGTTATGTGATCCATGCCTGTCATCATTCGTGACGTTTTGACAAATTTCGAGTGCAATACGCTCTGCGGTCTAAAAGACCGCGGGCGCAAAAATGATCATGCCTTATGGCTTACAAATATTAATACGACAAAATGTTATTACTACTTTCTGGCTTTCTTTTAAAACGCTTAGAAGGTTGATAAAATTGGACGAACTTTAAAAATGAAACAGCAACCACGTGTAACTTGGTCCTTGTGCGTCCACCCGGCTGACGGAATGGCGCTTTTCAATATAATGGAAGAATGACTACGAGTCCCTTGTTACAAACGTTTTATAATGTGACCGTTGTGTGTTAAGCTTTGATCGCGGATTTTTTGTATTTGTTTTTGACTGACTGACTGACAGACGTGTGAACTAGCCTGCTCCTGTTTCGATTAATGTGACAAATCGTATAGTTGATACTTGATGGATACGGAGTTTTTAATCTTGTGTTACTAGCCGCTGTTTAATCTTTAAACGGATTGACTTCGCTACCAACAACAAATGATAGTAACAACGTACATCACAAGTCTATTAAATGACACGTAAAACAGATCCCGACCATAGAAATAAAATACCGTTTGACAAGGTGTTGACCCAAGCGAATAATAATTCTTACAGAAACCAACCTTTGAACCCTCACCTTTTAAACTTGCGCATCTACGGCGCTACGCCAATAATTCACTTGCCTTTTATAATAAAATTTGAACCCTCATCTTTATTAAAACTTGTGTCACTTGTGGCCTTTTACTGTAATATATGAACTCAGTTGCTTCTAATCTTGATAGCTTTAATAATTTATGTCATTTATGCTTGACCTTAAACAATTTTTATATCATATTACGTGCGGGGACTTCAACACCCCCCATTGTTTTTGCGATATTACCCACCAATGCTTTGCGGGCAAAAAACTTAAAAACTTAAATTTCTCTGCCTCTCCATCTGGTATATCCCAGACATGTTAAAATACTTTGTTGGCGTTCTAACGTTCAAATGTTTGAATGGACTAGCCCCTGACTATCTCAATTCATATTTTCAGGAGAGATTATCTTTACACGATAGAAACACCAGAAATAAACAAAAACTAAACATTCCAGCTTATAGATCCATCATCGGCGGCCGGACAACGAACATTTGAATACCGAGCAGTATCCCTGTGGAACTCTCTACCTAGTAACATTACTGTACATGACAATTGTAAAGACTTTAAAAGTAATTTTTATAACTATCTGCTTGAACTTTTTCTTTTAAAATCTTAATGAACTTATCTAATTTTAACGATTTTAAACTGTAAATATACAATAGAATAATTTAGATATAATTTACATGTATATTAGTCTGAAAAACCAAATGTTTGGAGAATTAATTAATAATAATAATATATACCGATCATATTACGTGCGGGGACTTCAATATATGCCTCCTCGGGTTTTGGCCCTCTGGGGCCAAAACCCTGCGGGGGGCAATTATCGTGACTCGACCTACGCAAAATTGGTGATTATTAAGCCGGTTTTCCACTAGGCGGAATTTTGCGCGCGGAGCGGTCTTTTTCTTTGTCTTGTGATTTCTCAGGTGGAACTAATTAGAAAAGACAAAGAAAAATTCCGATCCGCGCGCAAAATTCCGCCTAATGGAAAACCGGCTTTATTGGATGTTGACCTCTTAATTATTTGTCTCCATGATTATCTTTAATTTCTATAGCTATTATAAAATATAGCGCACAGAATTATTTGAATGCAGTTGTAAACACTGAATTATTTGCATACAGTTTTAAAACTCATGTAACGTAAGGCAAGGTGAAATAGATGATAACATGGTCATTGTGAATCTTAGTGCTTAACATAAACGCAATTTGTAACGTGCTTTTATTTGTTTATATATAAATTA